TTCCCAAAAGTTGTTCTTATCCAGGGTGGACTAAAGTTTCGACCTCGCATAGGTCTTATCAACACCTCCAGCGAAAGTCGAACAGTGACAGTGCAGCATGTGAACTTGACACATTAATCACTCAGCCACATTGCCGCAAATGCCTTGTGGTCACAGGGCAGATATGAATTTCAAAGAAGACCATGTATTTTGCCATATCACTACTCATATCATTATGGGAAAATTCTGCTACCAGTCCTTTATCACCTTAAACGAAATAGGGTGGATACATTTCACATAACTGATTTATTGGTAGTCTCAAAACTCTGCTTATATACAAAAAATAAGTGATGAAGTCGATTGTTAGAGCAAAAATACGTTTGCTTCACCAACAATCCCACCAAAGAATGTGCTTTGGGAAAAAACCTAGCCTTCCTTGAAGTTCGCATATGTCCTGTGACCTTAAGGCACTCGTGGCAATGTGGCTGAGTAGTTAAAATGTCAAGCTCGCGTACTGCATTGTCACGGTTCAAATCCGGCTGAGGGTGTTGATAAAACCTAGGCGAGGTCAAACTGCAGTCCACTCTGGATAAGAAAAACTTTTGTAAAACAAGGCTGTGAAATTCAACGAAAACACCAGCTCTACTCATATCATTGTGGTAAAATTCTACTACCAGTCCTTCATCGCCTTAAACGAAATAGGGTGAATACATCTCATATAAGGTCAAATGTCTATACTACGAAAGGAGACCGCAACCATACAAAAGGCCACACTTTCATGGTCTTCATATCTTCGAAGATTATTTAATGTTTAGATAGAGAAATAATACCTCAACCACACAAAGATCATAACATATTAGTCTTCAAAACTACATTTAATCAGGATCATTATCAAGAGGACAGCTAAGAAAAGTATAACTAAGTTACCATCTTCTCCTGCCCCAAGATGAACTTGGATGGTTTGTTTCACAGCTGCATCAACATAGTCCATTACGCTGGTTTTACTGAACTGAACGTCAACAGGAAATGTTCGGCCCGGTATTCGGAATATGGGACAGTCACCAAAAAATTGGCTAAACTTTTCGGCGTCCATAGTAGCCGAAGTGATAATCAGTTTGAGATCATTACGTCGACCGACAACCTGTGAAACAGAAGTATTAATGAAACTGCTGAAATGTCACAATAAAATATAATATTATAATGCTTGGAAAATAAGCAACTTTGGTGTATAAATAAATAAATAAATAAACATATACATATATATATATATATATATGTACATAATTCAGCAAGAATAGTGAAAGAATTTATTCATTCAGCTCGTTATAAGCATTTCTAACAAAGTGATTGTGAATATGACTTATTTAAGTTGAGTGGGAAAACTAGTTAATAGGGTTGTCATTCCCTTCAGGATTGTACTAATGATCTTTTCCCTCAGTAGCGGTCGCAGTTTCCAGGCCAATTCGCAGGATGAAAAGTGATGCACAGGATTTCACGATTGTCAAGCAGATAATTAAGGAAAGTGACTGAGTATTGGAAATATTCATTAAGGAATTCATATAGATTGATTATCAACAGAGTATTAGAGAGGATGGCTTTATGGAGAGTTTCGGTGTGGTATCAATGTATCCTAACACCCCAGTGCATAAGGATATAAAAGCACTAATACTCAGCCTAGATAAGCACCCATAAATTATTAAGGAAGCAAATCTGAGCAAATCTGAGTCTTAAGGCTTCTTAATCTATCTTACCTTTAAAAATAAGGTTTATGAACAGATGCAAGGCCTACCAATGTGATCTTGTTTGGCTCCTATTTTATCGAATAATTACATGTCAAGGACGGAGGAGCGCTTCATGCAAGAGGTAAGATTGACTCCAAAACTGTTATTTAAATATGTGGATGACTACTTTGCATGGTAAGGATAGTTTAGACGATTTCTTGTTGTTAATTAACCTGATTGACAGCAATGTTAAGTTGACAATGGAGATAGAGAAGAGAAATCATATACCTTTTTTGTATGTTTTAGTGATCAGAGCAGGAGAGAAGTTAAGCAGGGATGTATATAGAAGGCCAGCACATGCTGGTTTTATCCTTAATTTCTTCTCTAATCATAGTTATAAAACAAAGGTTAACGTTTTAAAATCTATCATTATAGGGAACATAAGACTAACTGACAGGCCATTGCGATAATGAACTGGATCGGCTCAAACTAATATTTCTTGAGAAGAATAATCCTTTAGATTTGATTTAAAATAACATTAGATTAATAAAAAAATAATCTTTTGAATGATGAATACGTAAGGAGAGATAAGGAGAACTTTTCCCATGTTTAGTCTTTTCCTTTGTACAGTCTCCCTAAAAGAATAGGCGAACTAGTAAGGAAGTGGTTAATAAAAACGGCTTTCAGTGAAACTACGACATTTTCTTTAGTCATGCCCACTTTCAGAGAGAAGGTTGACCCATTATCCAGATCGAGTTGCTACAAAATAATGCTTCCATGTAGTAGCTTCTAAATTGGAGAGACTTTTCGTCCCATTCAACAACGGATGGCTGAACAAAAAAGTGCTAGCACAGGCCGTTGGGTCCAAAAATAAAAGCTGGCTGAGCACAAGGCAGAAACTAAGCACAAGATTGAATGCTCTTAAACATCACGTTTTGTTTATTATGATATGTATGCAAATAAACTAAAATTAGAGAAACCATCGAAATAAACTGAATAGGGAATACATTGAATGTAAGTAATATCGGCAAGAAGTTAAGTAAAAACTACTTTTGTGCCAACTCACAGACGATGTGGTTCAACATCGAACCTAATCAAAGCAAGCAGTACCAAACATTTGTGGGTTGGCACACAAGAGAATAGGGCATAGGAAGTCATAGACTTGGTATTAGAGATAAAAACAGGATAGACGCGGCTATGACTTGAGCTAGTTGGTTGACAGTAGGTCTGTTGTACCATAGACGTGGTACATGTAGGAAAGGCTTGACGATGAGACTTACTTAGAGGCTTGAGTCTCAAATAAGTAACCCAGACGCTGGGAAGGGCGAATAACGCCTCGAATAGTATAGATGGGGTAACAGGGGTCGAGTAAAATACGTGAACCAGGAAGAGAGCAGACGGATCCAGGGTAGGACTACGTAAAAATATGACAGACTGATCAACATTCCCAGCACAAGGGTGAGGGGGTGAGAACGACAGCGTGGAGTGTGAAGGGTTTTCATGATTGACGCTCAAAGGAGCACACCACACTACATCGAAATAAGCACGGTAAAAATTGTAACATTGAAGGCGCGATAGCAGGATATAGGAAATGTGAATAGACCAGTTCAGAAGGAAGGATACCACAACTGTTTAGCACACAGTTAGTCAAAGGATCGGCTTCACTTGTCTCTTTGACGAGTTGTTGTGTGGTGCGAAGAATGGCGAGACTCACTGACGATCCTGGCAAAACGTCTGGGAATGTACCACATCCACGGTCATACTCTGGAAATGATCATGCATACAATGGACTCC